CCCCAAAACCCCAAAACCCCAAAACCCCAAAACCCCTTTAATGATAGATCGAATTATATCAGTAAAATTGAATTAACAATTAGGAAATAATAAATCGTTATACCGTTTAGCTGTATCTTTATAATCAAAATAATCATTTTAATTGCTCTTATCTCTTTTTGTAACGTATTTGCTCCTCTAAAGCCATTCTTAAGGTATCATAATCTACTTTTGAAGTAGCTTGTAAAATATGCTCATTTCCTAAATTAGGTACTTTAACAAAAGCCATTGCAAAAGCAAAACCAAATATACCAACTAATGGTAGCCAGCCTAATATAATCAAAGGTATTAATTTCCCTAAATCATAGTTTTCATTGATTACTAAATATAAAACTTGATAACTAACTCCACCTCTTCCATCGTCAGAATACATCTTAAATAATAGAGTTTAGCCTTCACCATCTTTAGGAATTCCATTCAGTGTCCTATTGCCAGGAATGAACTTTAACCATGGAGGAATTTAAGTATTTTTGTCGAACTAGGCCATATAGTATGATAATTCGTCCCCATCTTCATCTCTAAAGATAGATTCAGGTATTTGGAACTCAAAGTAGATATTCATATAGACCTAAACCTATCCTATTTCATTCAAGACTAATGGTGCTTTATTTTTTATTATATTAAGAGTAAAGGTTGTAGAAGCTGTAGCTCTCTTTGGATCGCTTGCTAAAATTTTTAAATTTAGAGAAGCTAGATTTGTAATAGCTGTTCCATAGACTAGTCTATTCTCAGGAGTGAACTTGATCCAATTAGGTAATTCACTACCGTCAGCTTGCATTAAATTTAAAACTGTACTTTCTCCGTCAGGATCTTAGAAAAGTTTATCTGGAATCTGGAAAGAAAAATCTAATTAGCTCTTAATTGACTGTACTGGCATTGTCTCACCAATTCTGATTAAAGGTGAGTTGTTTGATCTGATTTCAAGATTTACATATAGAATTGAAGTACTTAATCCGTATGGATCAGTAGCCTAAAGTTCTAATATTGAAGATCCAATGTCTGAAACTGCTGGTGTTCCATACAAAGTATAGGTTAAAGTATCAAATGTAAGCCAAGATGGGATGGCGAGTCCTCCATTTTAGGTGCATTTGATGGATAGTTTCTGATTTTCAGGATCAATGAATAGAGTAGGAGATAAAATTATTGCAAATGAGATACCAGTGGTAGCATAAAGAGTGTTCATTGATTCATTTATTATAGGACCACTATTTATTATTATTTAGAATGACTGTTTAAATGAAGCTCCCTTTTCATCTGCAATAGTAGCCAATAGTTAAGTAGTACCTGCATTTGCAATACCTGCATTGATAGTCAATAAGCCTGAATAAGCATCAGTAGAAATCCAGGTTCCTGGGGACTGACCATTGGCCTTAGTTACAGAATATGTTAGAGTAGCACTAGTGTCTTAATCCTCGAAATATATTGATAGATCAATAGTGTTTATACCTTGAGCAAATGTAAAGGATTATGGGATAAATCCATTGGTTTAATGCTAAGTCGGTTTAGCATTTATAGTGAGTACAAATGAATCATCTATAGATCCTCCTGTAAACCCATCTGAGATAGTAACTGTAATGGTAGATGATCCTTTGCATTATTAAGGAGGTATTCCTGAAAAACTCAAAGATGCTTTATTATAAATCAACCATTCTTTTAGACAAACAGCAGATATGTCAGGTATAACAGATAATTTATGTCCATCAGCATCTGTGTAATAATTTGAAGGAATCTTGTAAAAGAAATGTTCTAGAGTGTTAATTGACATATCAGGGATCCCAGTCACTATTGTGGGTCCTGCATTAGTAACTGATATTGTGAAAGTAGCTGAAGCAACTTGATCAGCTGAATCAATAGCATATACGATAACATCTAAACTTTAAGAATCAGGGGCGATTCCAGCAAAAGTGCTATTGAAAGGAGTAAAAACTATCCAACTTGGTAGTGGTTGCTCTGGAGCTCCAGAGTTAAATGAATAAAAATAGAAATTGTCACCTTCAGAATCTCCAAAGGTATTTACATCAACTTGATAATTAAAATACTTTCCAGCTTTTTGAGAAAATGAGGGGATTGAGTACTAAACATAGGGAGGAGTATTCTTTATAGTAAGTTTAAATGTAGTCACAACTGTATGCGATTGAGAAGTAATGGTATAATCTGCTCTTAGATTTATATACAATACGCTAGCAGATGAAGGACTACCTGACCACGTTCTTGTACTTGGTGTGAAAGTAAGCCAAGATGGTAGCGCTGAGCCATCTATCAATGTTGATGAATATGTTGAAGTTGCTGTTGCAAAATCAGTTCCTTGATAGCAATAAGCTGATTAAGAAACGGATAAACTATCTCCAATTGTTATAGTTTATGGGAACATTGAAGTTGGAAAAATTAGATCATTAGCATTGCATTTAGAATAGAGATTAACAGTTGAAAGTGACGTCGAGGATCCAGTATTACTTGAAGATGTGTCCATAGCAATTTAATAGATATTCTAGATATTCAGCGTTACAGAAGTGGTTGTTAATAAAGGTGCTGATGAAATAGCTGCAACTATTAATGAGCTTGAACCAAACTCAAATGCATTACAAGTTTTGTCTTCCATTGTATTATCCCATTCTGTAATTATTGAGTTCTTACTGCTTCCTTGTTTAAGAGGGCCAGATGATATAATTCCCAAGACGACTAACCTATCATAAGTGTTAGCATAAATAGCAGGTAGTGGGAAATCAAGTGGACCCCACTATCTGAATCTAATCAAGCCTCCATCTAAGATTTTAATAGTTGCTACGCCCACACCAGATGTGTCTACATTTAGACTTAAGTAGTATTTTGTTCCATCGGGACTCACATTACCACCGTAAAGAGTAACATCTTCTCCAGTATAGTATACTTGAGAAAGCCAATTAATGCTCCCACTACTCGAAAAATAGCAAGATACTAAGATTTAATCATTTGCTCCGTTCATATAGTCAGGATTATTATTAGTCATAGGTGCTATAATAAAACTCTCATCGGGAGTAAGAGTTAAACCATTAGAAGCTGTTAATGACCCAGCTGATGTTCCTAAACTTTGAGTATACTTTTAAGCAACATTCACTGACATTACTGATTTCCTCAATATGGTTTAAAATGTATCATCTGCCATTTAAGCATTAATAACTTCGTAGAAATAGTCTCCTTGGATGTTGAAAAGTATGCCCATTGTTTATAGTTGTTTGAATGTAGATTCTGTATATGTTTTTGCCCAAAGATACTAACCTGTGTAATCAAATAGCAAAATACAATTAGCTATTGTATAGTCAGCAGGCAAAAATGAGTTTTAGTAGCCACCCACGAGGATTCTACCTCCATCAGGCGATACAGTTACTGCAGTTGAAATGCCATTTTATGCTCCTCCCCAATAAAGCATCCAGTTAGAATCTCCAGCAGTTGTATCCACTGAATGCAAGAAGATGTCCCAACTACCCCTGTTTTCATTAATGGTTGAAGACTAAGCTGCCCCTGTCACAAAAATAGTATCTCCATCATAAGGATCTATAGCAACTCCTGTCACTGTAGTCTAGCCTCCAGAGCCAAACTTTTTAGTCCAGACTTGAGTTCCAACTTGATCATATTTAGCGTAGATCAGTTCAAATGTTTGATAATTACCGACAGCGAAAATGCTGTTACTTTTATCAAGAACAATATCTGTCATTAATACATCTTTTCCAGTCTCATATGTACTGATAAGCATATTAGGATTTGTGCCTGTACATTGCTCATTGGAAAAAGTTACCAATAGAGCAGGAATCAGAAATCCAACAATAACTATTTTTAGCATTTTTTTATTATAAAGTATTCTTGATAATCTGATATATTTTTAATGCATTCTCAAAATATTAGAAATAAATCCTAAAATTTACTCAAGGGGTTTTGGGGTTTTGGGGTTTTGGGG